CCCTCTCCTCCCATCTTCTCTCTCTACCCCATCTACTGTAATTCATTTCTCTCTCTCTTGTTTTTTTCCCCTTTCCCCTCACTTCCTCTTATATGTAATTTTGTATAACAATGAGGGTCTCCTTCCTTTACCATGCAATTTCCCTTCTCTCTTTCTTTCCCTCCCCCCTCTCGACCCTGTTTAATGGTGATCTTCTTCTCATGCTCTTCCTCCCTATTCTCTTCTTAGTTGCTCTCCTTATATCAAAGATGACATTTGGCATTTGTTTTTTAGGGATTGGCTAGCTTCACTTAGCATAATCTGCTCTAGTGCCATCCATTTCCCTGCAAATTCCATGATTTTATCATTTTTTAGTGCAGAGTAATACTCCATTGTGTATAAATGCCACATTTTTTTTTATCCATTCATCTATTGAAGGGCATCTAGGTTGGTTCCACAGTCTAGCTATTGTGAATTGTGCTGCTATGAACATCAATGTAGCAGTATCCCTGTAGTACACTCTTTTAAGGTCTTCAGGGAATAGTCCGAGAAGGGCAATAGCTGGGTCAAATGGTGGTTCCATTCCCAGCTTTCCCAGGAATCTCCATACTGCTTTCCAAATTGGCCGCACCAATTTGCAGTCCCACCAGCAATGTACAAGTGTACCCTTTTCCCCACATCCTCGCCAGGACTTGTTGTTTGACTTCATAATGGCTGCCAATCTTACTGGAGTGAGATGGTATCTTAGGGTGGTTTTGATTTGCATTTCTCTGTCTCTTTAATTTAAAACTCACTAGCAATTTCTTATGAACTGAACCTTCTTTCATGAAGTCCGTGCTGGACACGTGGCAGATCTTATAAATTTAAAAAAATTCATGGGTTTCAAGGATCATATATTCAGCCTATGACATTATTATTATATCCAATTACTATCCAAATGACTGAAACAAGGCTTTGTTAAGTATCTTGTTCAAAATCACATAGGCAGAGACAGGAGGTGAGCCTGAACTAACTGGCTAGAAAATATAGATTTCTAATCAATTGCTTTTAACTTTTATTGGGCTCTTTATCTTAAAGGGTTATTGGAAGATAATTGATATACATTTAATCTTTGTTAATGTTAAATAAAGAAAGAAGATATTTCCAGATTTCAAAAGGAAAAAAAAAGCATGTTTCATATGAAGGATCAAGATTCAGGAGGAAATACAACTTTCCAAAAGGTGTACAGCACACTAGAATTCACTAAAGATAAGGCTTAAGGACTATAAGAAAAGCTAATTACAATCCAGAAACCTATGTCCAGATAACTCTCAGCTAATAATGACATATCATAAAATTGATTTCCTGTTTTTCAGAGATAACCAAAATGATGATAGATAGATAATAGAAAGGCACTTATTACAGGAACTGTCTCTTTCAAATGACTATGGAAACTGAGAAGTCCCACAGTAGAACATATGCAGTCTGGAGAACCAAGGATACAGGTGCTGTAACTCAGTCCAAGTCCAAAGGCTTGAGCACTGACAGAACTGATGGAGTGATATTCCATCTGAGGTCAAACACCTATGAAACTGAGGACAACTGATGCAAGTCTAAAAATCCATGTCTGGAAGACCTGGAGTTCTATTGTCCAAGGGCAGGAGAAGGTGTCCCTGCTCGAGATGAGAAGGTCAACAGGAATTTGCCTTTCCTCTGCTTTTTGTTGTCTCCAAACCCTCAGCCTAAGGGATGGTGCCCATGTGTTGGCAGAGGGGAAATCTTCCTTATTAAGTCCACTGATTCAAATGGCCATTCCTTCTGAAAACACCCTCACAGACATACCCAGAAATCGTGCCTTACCAGGTACCTGGGTTTCCCTTAATCGAGCCAAGTGGACACCCAGAATTAACCATGACATCTCCCATGCACCTTTTTTTGGGCGGGTGGGGGGAATGTGTTCTGCCAAAAAGAGCAAAATAAGACAAAAGAGAAACTGAATACACACAAAGGAAGTCCAAGAAGAAGACCAAGGGGAAAACCTCAGACAAACTAAAAGGTTGGGCTCATAAGAGGAAAGCTGAGCTCCAGGCCTTCAGAGCAATATGAGCCCTCAGAAGCTTGGAGAACTTTCTATCATTATTTTTTTAAGTCACATGATTTTTTTATGCCTTCATAGTGCATTAATATTGGGGTTCATTTTGACATAATCATGCACGGAATGTAATTTGCTTCATGTCAGTTCCCAGTACTTCCCCCTTCCCTCCCCTCCTCCCTCCCCAGTTCCCCTTCTTCTGCTCTATAGGTCTTCCTCCTATTAATTCATAGTTTTTTTCTTAATTAGTGCTTTATAGATATACATAAACATGAAATTCACTGTGACATATTCTTATGTCTACAGGCCATAATTTGCTCAATTTCATTCAGTTCCTCCCTTTTCCCATCCCTCCTCCTCTTTCTCCCTTAAATCCCTTCCTCTCCAAAAGATAAAACTGGTAGACAATGTATCAGTAGACTATGTAATGGATTTGATTGTGTCACTGTTGATTTTCACAATTCAGAGGGTTTAGAGTTGAGTTGATGATAATTATCTAGACTCTTCTAGTGGAATAAACAAATGAAAAAAAAAAGGCCTTTTCTACATCTAGGGAAAATTTTTTCTTAAGTTGTAAAAGAAAAAGAAGAGAAATCACCATAAACATCAGAGCAGGAATCAGGGGAAGAAAATATAAATTATAACTTAAGGGGACCTCAAATTCCAAGGAAGCTTTTTCAAATGAGCTTAATCCTCCCTCCCTCTCTCCCCATCCCCCTCCCTCACTCTCTCTCATACAGACATGCCTACTACCTCAACTCAACCTCTCACACATCTACATGTGCACATACTATGCACACACACATGCTTTTATTGCCCCATTATTCAGAACTGTGTTCTCCATGAAATCACATGTGTCTCCTTCCATGTTCACATTTCCTTTCGTGGTGGTAATGGGAGAATCCTCATGAGGAACATGGTATTCAGCTGGAGTAGAATATCCATGACTAGAGCACTAGAGCATGGTGAGGGTTCAGTGTGACTGGAGAACAAAAATTCTTTGGGGGGGAGGTTCTGTGGACTGAACTCAGGGGCACTCAACCACTGAACCACATCCCCAGCCCTAGTTTCTATTTTATTTAGAGACATGATTTCACTGAGTTCTTTAGTGCCTCACATTTGCTGAGGCTGGCTTTGAACTCACTATCCTCCTGCCTCAGCCTCACCAACCTCTGGCATTACAGGTGTGTACCACTGCACCCAACCCAGAAACTGCATCTTCGAAAGAAGGGTCAGAGGTCTGAGTCTTCCCTTAGGTGGTGAGATCCGTGTTGGCTGGGAGCAAACTGGGGATGCAAGTACTCTTCATGGGAGTCTGTTGTACTGCAGTATTTCCATTCTGCATTCTTATTCATGAAAACAATAATTAAACATAAGTCTCTTTGATCACCAGATTTTTTAAAAAATGTTTGAAAGTGGTACTGAATTAGAAAATTATTAATTTCACAATCAAATTTATAAATATACAGATATAGAAAATTTGGGTTGATCTGATGAACAAAAATCTTCAAAAACTGAAACTACAGAAGATGTCTATGCCTCATGTAAGATATAACATGATCACATGTTTGTCTGGAGTTCTTAAATTATTGCTTCACATTGTACATCAAATAATGTCATGATAATCTGAGGCTCAGGATGACTTTCTTTTGTGTAGTCAAGAGTATGTGTTTAAGAAGCATGTTTAGGAGTGGATCAATGTAGTCAGTGATTACAATTATTTAAACCAGAACTCTGGTGTTAAGACTCTTGAACTTTAGGCCTACACTTAAGATTAGATATTGACTTTCATACTAACCTTCAGGATTCAACTGAAGTCAAGATATTTATCTTTCCTATTTGATGTTCTCTAAACTCCATTTTTTTCTTGTATCCCTGAGAATCTGGCAAAAATTCCTTTCAAGTTCTAAATTTCCTATGTGACATTTTATAGTCAACATTTCCAGCTTTTACATCCTGATTTCAAATCCACAATCACTTCCAGGGTAAAATCACATAAAATATCAGATTTCCCCATGTAGTTATTCCAATCACTATGTTATCTTATTCCTACAAAGCTTTACATTTGTTATAAAAAATGTTAATTTACATATGTGTGTATATGTTTGTATGCATGTGTATGTATAGTCATTGAGGGAACAAGACATGGACAGAAATACAGAAACATAGATAAAGACATTATTTCTAGAAATTTCTGATCATTGCAATGAAATATTGTTTTCAGATGATAGAATTTTCTACTTGGAAAAATTCATGAAAGGAAACCAAAAATTATTAAATCTACCAAATGATTAGATCCTCATGATTTACAACAACGTAGTCCTTAGTTACATGTATAATAGAAAAAGTAAACACTTATATAATATTTAATGCACTATGTTTCACCATCTCTGAAATAAAAGCTCATATTCACTATAGTGCAGCCATTTACTATCTAGGAAACCACCCTGATGAAGTACAGGAATAAAAGTATATGTGCACATAGCATTTTTATATTAACAGTTCAAAAATAATCTAAATATCACATAACTATACAGATTTGAATAGGGAAATAATTTTGGCAATTATGGAATATCCAAATAATGTGACATTATGAGTTACATTTATTTATACTGCCTGTAAAAATATCTATAACAGTATATAAATGTCATCTCCAAATCATAGCTATCTTAAACATATATACACACATATGTAAGTATTTCTCTGTGTGTTCAAATATCACCATATATACATATTCCCCTAGGTCTATTTATCCATGTGCATGAGAGGGTAGTGTTTAACCACTAGAGGGAAAAAGAAAAGATATCCTTGGACAAACTGGCAAATTCAGATTTTACTTCTTGTTATTTGTTCCCTCTAGCTGGAAAGATCTTTCCATGTTTTCTCCCTATATGCATACACATACATAAACCTGTACATACATGAATAAACATGTTCACCACACACATACACATGTACACACATAATTATAATTTAATAACCATGGAAAAAGACAAAAGCATATTGAACAAACTGTCAAGAAATCATTCCCCTAGAGAGTTACATAGAAGTGAGATGTTGAGAGCCACAACCCAAGGGGCCCCAGCAAACTTCCAGCTGCCAGCAAACTTCCAGCTGCTGGCTGATGATTGGCTCACAGCGGCCCCAGCAACATCTAGCTGATTGGCTCCTCTGCGGTGATGCTCATTGGGCTGTTTCCCTGCCCTTTCAGACCACGGAGCTGCTCATTGGGGGACTTTTTTGGCTCCGCCCACGTGACCCAGCCAATCGGCCTCAAGAGCAGGAGGATTGTGGGAGGTGGGGAGAAGCTTGTGTGGGAGAGAGAGGCTTGTGGAAAGCCGGTGGTGGCAGTTGAGGCTCTGAGGGTTTTTCCTGAGAGGCTGTTTTGTTTGGCGTGTGGTTCTAAAAATAAAGTTAGTTTCTTTTGACAAGTGGCTCCTGATTGTGCCCAGCCAGACTGCAGCAGTGAGAGATGCATAAATTCTGTATTTTATTTTAAAATATTTTTAAAATCATAGGATAATTTCTGATTGTTAATTTTTATTAAAATAAACTAATTTATAAGTTTGTTTCTGTTTGGTATACACTGAAGATGCACTGTAGCTTATGATCTCAGAACTGTATTACAACAAGAATTTTATTAGATATTCAACAGTGAGGTTTCTCTTATGCAGGAAGTTTGAACTGAATTTTGAAGGGTGGGGAAAATTAGAAGACACAGCGCTCATGGATGGTATTCCTCCTGTTAGGGTGTACAAAATGATTGACACATCAGCCAGAAAAAAATATACATACTTGTTCAGATGAGGCTGTAGAGTTTCTTTCAGAAATTTGGTAACCTTTCCTTTCTTCAGACTGGAATGAAACAGAGTTCATAGGAGGGTGGTATAGAGCCTAGCCCAATTGTACTTGGGGTGGTGTCAATGTCTTTTGGATCAATCAGAGGTTTCAAGGTAAAATGCTGTAAAATGCTGGTCAGGATTAAAAACAGTTCCATGCGGGCCAGGCCCTCTCCAACACAAACTCTTTTTCCTAAAAATGACACACAAATCAATTAATCATTTAATTCTATTTCTGAGTTATCACAAGAGGAGGCTTAAATAATACAAAATTAATGAATATATTAATCTATGAATAATTAATGCTTGGCTTCTATTCATCCACAAACCTGGTTTCTCTTCTTCCCTTTCTTCCTTTACTTATGTCTATCTGTTTCCTGGAAACTGGCTTCTAGGGACAGTATTAATCCAGGACCCAATTCCTTAGAATTCATACAACTGGGTGTCAAAGAGCTTAGAGTACTTAGTGCTTCAGTCCCACTCTCCCACTTCCTACTTCTGGCAGTGACTGTATTTATTCATCTACCAATACACGCATTTGCAGTTTAAGCATCCACTGTATCTTGGCTAAATGTCTATTTAGTTTCCAGGGACACCCTCCTTCCCTTGCACCTTCCAACCTGGGATGGAAACATCTTCTTGCTGATGCTAGTCCCTAATAGCACACTTGGCCACTTCCCTTGTCCTGTGCACGCCTCCGAAAACAGCCTCCTTATTAGACCCTTCAGCTAACATTTTTGAGTGTTTGCCACCTGTTTCCTACAAAGACCCTTACAAATTAAGACAAAATACTCAAATGTTATTTCCTGAAAAAAAATTTCCCTTACCCTCTAAATGCTCTTCCCCTGCCTCAAAAAGACCAGTCAGGAGCTCATCTCACTATGCTCTCACAGCAGCCTCTAGCATAGCATTGGTCACACTACAGCTTCATTGCCTGTGAATTAATCTTCCTCTCTCTTGGAGGGAAGATCTGTTTCTTATTCACTTTCATATCCCTGGATCTCAGTGTGGGATTGCTACACATAAGGTGCTCAGTAATGTTATTGATTAAACTGACTTCTCAAGGTAACTGAGAAAATTCTTGGTAGAACTGGACTTCTAGAAGCTCTTCAGAATCTCTGCAGGGTCAGGAAGCAGAATCAATGGGCAGAGCCTCCAACCCAATGAGAAAAACCTAACAACCTGAACATGCCTCTGGCCTCATAGAAATGGCAATTCGTACAGGCCAGAGAAGTCTCCCTTCTCCTCACTTGACCCCTGATGCACACATGAAAACAGAGCTTGCTTGCCTGCTGAGAAAGCCATGAAGTGGTCACTCTTCTTAAAGTTGCCACTTTCATCCAGAAAGTGGCCAGGGTCAAACTTCTGTGGGTTGGGAAACTCTTTTTCATCATACAGAAGAGAGGTCAGAGACACCATTATTTCTGTGCCCTTTCAGAAAGAGAAACACATGAATTAGTTTATAAATGAATCATGGAACTTGAAAACAATTAGAAATCCCTCACCTAATCTTCTTATAGATCTTGTAGATCAGGGAGGGGAGTGGGAGGCACCAAAAGGAGAATTTATTTGCTCCATGTCACATAACAAATGAACAGCCAAGCCAAACAGGTCTTAACCATGTAATGCCCGGTCCAAGGCCCTGTTCACTGCCTGCAAGGCCATTCTCAGCAGGGTATAGCCTGACACAGCATTTCCTGTGCAGAAAGAAAATCAAGGAAACTCCCTGAAGTGCATTGCTCTGGACAAATAAATTGCAAAATTGTCTAACAGAGCTGATGTCACTGAAAATCCCGCTTATTTTCTTGAGAACTGACTTGAAGTCTTCTTTGAACCTCAGTAACTTGAATTTCCATATTCTTGAAAAACATTTAATTTCCCATCAAGATGAGAAACCGGTAAGGATGCTGTGATGGTTTAGATATGAGGTACCACAAAAGTTCATGTGTAAGGCAATGCAAAAAAGTATAGAAGTGAAATGAGTGGGTTATGAGAACATTAACCTAATCAGTACATGGATTAACTCGGTGGTAACTATAGGCAGGTAAAGTATGGCTGAAGGAGGTGGGTCATTGGGGGAATGCCGCTGGAATATATATTTTTCCCTGATCTGCTGATCTTAATCTCACTCTCTGCTTCCTTTCAAGTCCTGAGCTGCCCTCCTCCATCACACCCTTCTGCCTTGATGTTCTGCCTTACCTTGGGTACAGAGCAATAAAGTCAACCATATAGAGACTGAGACCTCTGAAACCATAAGTCCCCAAATAAACTTTTCCTCCTCTAAAATTGTTCTTGTTGGGTCTTTTGGTCATGGCAACAAAACAGCTGAGTAAAACAGATGTTCTCCTGTTGATATGTTGATTTAACTGAATTGCAACATATTCTTTTAGAAAGGAGAGAGAATTTCTAACTTCTAGATTCAGTTTATTTTTCAAAGTCAATGGAATCTTTGCCTCTATCTAATCAAGCTATGTTACCACATGTAAGTTGTCTAACATTTCAGTACTACATTTCCATCACTAGTAAAATGCAAACAACCCACCATAGTTTATTGTAATTGTAAAATGGTAAAATAGGATAATATGTGAAAGACATTAGGGAGGACATTGAACTTAGTGTCCTGCTAATGGAAGTGAGGACTCTGCCACTGAGCTACACCCCCAGCCCAAAAAAATTTTACATACATACTGCCACATGTGAAAGTGCTCAGGGAGAAAGATTTTATTACCATTATGATAATGATAAGTTTTCACAATATTTTGGTATCTAAATGTAACCCGTAATTAAAGAAAAAAATGTCAATAAAAACAGACCCCATGGTATCCTAGAATTATCACACAAGAACTTCTAAATAGATGGATATTATGAATGTGCCCAAGTATTTAAAGAATAATTAAAAGGAATAAATAGTAGCTATTATATCCCTGCATAAAAGTAGATATGCTATTAAGTTCTATAAAGAAACAACAATAAGTAAATAAAATTATAAAGTTGAAAAAAGCAGAAATTCAAATTTATTGGATAGTGTTAATAACAAGAAGACTGCAAAAGAATAAGTCAGCAAAGATAAAGACATGTCAATAGGGAAAAGTCAAGAGAATCCTATCAGATAATCTCTGATATAAATGCACATGCATACATATATTGTGGGGTGATCCCAAATGCAAAGGAACTGGTTTTACCTCTAGGGCAAGCACGGGGGTAGGGGGAAGGGGGAAAGGGGAATATTGGGTGACTATAATAATCAGTCTCACTGTCTTGAAGAACTAGTGACATGCTTCAGCTATGCTGTCCACACAGAAGCTGAAAAGAAATTGGCTGAATCCCAGAAAAGAAAGGGCCAGACAAGAAGAGCCCTAAATTCTATATGTGAACTCTACAGAATCTCTGGGTCACTCTCAAATTAGACACTTGTTGGCCAAACTCCAACATCTGGGGAGAAATAGATCACCTTCCTGCCCCACAAAATTACAGATTAACAGCTAATATAAAGACATTTTCAGGCAGACAAAACTATATCATTCTTTATCTTCAGCATTTAGAATTCAACAAATGTTATTCAACATTCTACAAGATAAAGAACATTGAAAATAAATACTTAGCATGAGAAATAGAGATTGTGCCACTGTTGTGGAAAGTGGGTGGATCACAATGTGACACATCCAGAAGAATATAGGCACTGCCATAAGCCAAGCAAAATCAGGCCTGTTATTAAATTGCTAAATTTAGTAACATGGCAGCCATCTATGACCTGGATGAACACAGCATCACTGGAACGGAAGATAATTTTCAGTGGGTTGATGAATAAATGATCAATTGGGAAATGTTTACGTGGCTAGAACAAACCACTTTTTCTGGGAATTTTGAATTTGAGGAAATGGTTGAGAAAAGTTTGAGCCAAAGGGATTAGAGTTTAAGGATAGATCTTTCTTAAGATGTAAGAGATGTGAGTAGATAGAAAGGAGCCAGAAGGGAGGGAAAATATGAAGATTAAGCAAGAAGGGGCTGGGGATACAGCTCAGTTGGTAGAGTGCTTGCCTCGCATGCACAAGTTCAATCCCCAGCATCACAAAAAGAAAAAAAAAAAAAGAAGAAGAAGAAGCAAGAGGAAATTATTATTTAAGGAAGATCTTTGAAAAAGTGAGGAGAAAGGGGCTATGCAGCAGTTTAGAAGGGTTTACTTTAGATAAAAGGGGATTTCTTTCACAGTGACAGACGTGAAAGAGAATTGTGTGGATGCAGCTAAGTATGTGTATCTAGAGGAAGGGAACTGAGGGACTTCCTCCCAGTGCTCTGATTTCCTCTGTCAGGTGGAAGACCAAGTCACCTGGAATAAAGGAGCTGGTAGAGAGTTGGGGTGTTGAGGAAAGTTCAAGGTTAAAAGAGTCACTGTGGCACATGGTGACCCAAGATGAGTAAAGTTATAAAACAGGGTTTCTGAGTACCTTTGAGACACATTCAGAATTGGTGAATAGTATACCCATGTATTGTGGGTGGTGATTATAAGACCAACCTGCTGGGGTGCAGAGTCTTCTCTGGCAGACTGGGTTCAATAGTTCAAGTCGGGGAGGAGGAAGGAGATTATTGGATCAGGCTCTTTATAAGTAAGTGAATCAGAAAGCAGGGAGGGAGGGAGGGAGATGGGAATATAAGACACGGGTTAATTGGCAAGAGTAATAAAACATACCTGGGAGAGCAAGGAAGCAGATTGCACTAACAACCAGGCAGAGGGTGGAGCTATCAGTATACTGAGGTTGCTACTGGTATTCTATTTAGAAAATGTGTCCACAAACAAGAAAGAAAGGAGCACATGGTCAGAGGGTGAGATGCCTGAGTTCCCTTAGAAGTTTAGGAAATTCACATTGGAATCATCGACAGCCTAAGGTTCCTAAGGAGAAGCATAGACTAATTATCTCTTACCTTTGGAAAAACGTATTCTCTGAACTTAACGTCCTGAATCACTGTATGAGGCAGGTTGATGGGAAGGAGGTTAATGTATCTCTGGATCTCATGCAGCACAGCATCCGTGTAGGGCATGCGGCTCCTGTCCTGCATGCAGGGGCTGCGGTCTCTTCCAATCACTCGTTCAATCTCTTCCTGGACTTTAGCTGGAGAGGAAGAAATGATAATTTATATGAAATGACAAAGATGTGAAATAACTTTTATTTGAATTCTTAATCATTGTGGTGGAAGATAGGGAAATTATGGATCATTACCTCCATAAGGGAAAAATAGAAGTTTTAACTTCCTGGGCAAATTAGATGTCTATTAATTACCTAAATATATACACATATAAAACATAATTGTCCAACAAAGTTCAGTTTTCAAACCAGATTCTCTATTTTGTGTAGACTCAAAGATCTAGAATCTTAAAAAGTCATTAAAAACCATGTAGTTTACCACTTTGTGTGTGCCAGTTTTCATTATAAATATTATTGTAAATTCCAAGAGGTTAAGAAGTACTCGGTACAGTAAATGCTTAATAAAGAGAAGAACAGAATAAGATATTTGGTTGATTAAGCACAAGGGAACAGGAAGAAAATTAACATTTATTTAGAATGTAATATATGACAGACATACTGCATAATTCATTACAGTATAATTCCTCAAAATTGCACTGTGTGTTGGGTATTATTTTGTTTGGTCTAGAAAGAAACCTGACCAGAGAAGTAAGTGTATTTCCTAAAGACACCCAGGTAATATGTGGTCTTTCCCATATCATCCCTGTGAAACAGATAAGAGACCAGGAACATGGACAGGTAGTGAGGAGGCTGAGGTTACACAGCTGCTCACAAGTACAATCAGAATGTTAAGCCACCACTATTAGAGTCTAAAACCCATTTTCCAGAGTATCAATGCCATGTTACCACTTTGGTCAGGTTACATTTATCTACCACCTAGAGAATGAAACTTTGTAATGGAGCATGTGAAAATTCTGCACTTTGGTAGCTGTAAAGAAGAAAAAAAGGAATTTCAGACAAGGAATTTCACTTTCTTGATTTAGGGGCTGAAGTTTTATCTAGAAGAAAGGGGTCATATATATTGGTCAGGAACTCCTTATAAAATCAGAATGGCATAGAATGGCACAGTAAGAGTTGTGATGGGAAGAAAGGAAAGGAAAATATATACAAATATGATGCAAAAGAAATCCAATGGAAGTGATGGGGAAACATGACACAATAACATCTTGTGAAGTACACACAAGATTTAAAGGTTTGTAAAATAATACATACTGTTTCTGCTCATACTCAGCATAGGTTTTGCAAAAGCTCATGAGAGAGTATATGTCATGTGAAAGAAACACAGGAGCACCACATCTCACTATGCACACTAGTAAAGGAATATTAAGGTTATGCTTCTATTTTCCCTATAAACAATGGGAGGGTAGAAGGACCTAAAACAAAGTGCTGATATCATGGAGGTAAGTCTCATGAGGTTTATTTCTACTGAATGTGTTGCAATGCATGAGAGCAAAGTCATGATATAGCAATGAAGGAAATGTCCTCGTAGATGAGGATACAACACAAAAGAGGTGGGAAAATGAAAAAGTTGCATTTGCAAGAGAAGTTATGTTTGTGAGGAAATTTTTATTTTTCTAAAACGGCAAAGAAAGGGTTTTTTAAATTGGGGTACAATTATTTTTTAGTTGGAGAGTTAGCCTTTCTGATTGAGAAATATTGTAAGTTTCTTGAGCAAATCCCTACATGGTTAATGCATTTGAGTATAAATATCTTTTGACAAAGGTATATTTATCTGGACATGGAAGACACATCAAGAGAGATTTTTGCAGAGAAAGAAAGAGGCTATCTCTTCAGTTTGGGAGTTGGAGTTTTATCTAGAACAAAGGGGTCATATAAAGTGGTCAGAAACTACTTATAGGATGTCCAGATCCTTTGACAAATGTTACTGCATCTGTCCCAAACCAAATCAAGGATTCTGCACCATAGCAAGAATAACAACCATGGCCCTTCTGATCTGTGTTGTTTAAACATTTCATTCTTTTTCCAGTGATCTAATTTGAATTGAATCCATCCAGTGGTAGGTAAAAGTACAAATGATGAAAGTATTTCTAGTACATTATCTATGCAGGTAAACAGTGGAACAGTTATCAGTGTTGTCTGCTAACACCTACCTGGACTTCATTCTGCCTGTCATCTGTGCTCATACCTGAGACCTCAGGATGCTTCAACAGGAGCAAGAGTCCATATTTCATTGTGGTACTTGTTGTCTCTGTTCCTGCACTAAACAGATCCCAGATGGTGATGATCAGGTTGTCCATGGTAAAGTCAGACTGTGTGTTATGTTTTTCCTAGAAATGATGTGCGATAGTTTCTTGGTAAATAAAATGTCTTCCAGGTAAAATAAAATAATTCAATATAACATAAGTATTTGGTAAATTAAGGCAGACATTAATGCTATAGCTGAAGGTGAAGTAAGAAGAATATTAGAATTCCTTTAAACTGTTAAAATAAAACCAGTTACAAACTTCTAAGTCCTCACTTTCCCACCCACTAGAGTAAATCAGTTATCCCGTAATGTCTTGCAAACATAATTTTTATTATGTCATCCACTGCTACTCCCTGTCAGTTCTAGCATCCACTGTCTGTTTCATCATGTCGAAATCTACCCTTCAGACCTCCAGTGTTAACACACTCCCCAACTTCATCACTATTCTCAATTTCATCAGTCATCATAACCACCACCATTCCTCAGTTAAAATCAAGTTAAATTAACCTCCTCAAAATTTCCACACACTTAACCACTACAATTATCATTCCTTGGTATTATTTTACCCTCCCTGTTAATCTAAACCAGAGTTTCCTCAAAACCTACCTCAACTGTGAAGTCTCCTGCAATCTCTCCAAAGGTAAACCTCCCCAGATTTCTATCTATTCTTGTGTTCAACTAATTGTTAGGCCTTCCATTCATGGATGGTTTCTTGTTTGTTTTGTTTTGTTTTTTTTTTTTTTTTTTTTTTTTTGGTACTGGGGATTAAACCCAATGGTGTTTTACCACTGAGGTGCACCAAAAGCCTTTTTTATTTTTTAGTTTGAGACAGGATCTTGATAAATTGCTGAGGGCCTCACTAAGATGCTGAGGCTGCCTTGAACTTGTGAGCCTCCTGCCTCAGCCTCCCAAACTGCTGGAATTTCAGGCATGCACCACTACCCCTGGCTCATGGAGGTTATTTTATGAACAGTGACATTATCATCAGTCTTGAACGTGTGACTGTATATGTGTATCAATTCACCCCCAAATAAAGAACAGCCTTTATCATGGTAAATACAAATCCTTTCATGTCATTTCGCCACTGAGAATTTTAAAATATCGCAAGACACTCAATGATTTGCATTAACAGAAGGTTGCACAAGTAATGGAAAAACAAAGCTTATCTTTGAGTGATATTACCCACAAAGCATGAGATATAAAGACAGAGTCACATTATACCTTTTCCATTTTAATCAGGAAATAGTCAATAAAGTCCTGAGGGTTATTGATGTCCAGAGATTCTTGATGCTCTTTTACTTTCTCCATAATAAACTTTTTTTGGTCAGCAATGATTTTAAAGAGCTCATTATGACTTCCTGGGAAATAATGTAAACTAGGGAAAAAATTATAGAGCTGAAAGAGGAAAAAAATCCTTCATTAACTCAAGAAACATTTATAAGCCCTTATTAGATGTCACCCACTTTGCTACGTGCTGAGTACAAATGAGTAAGACTCACTTCCTGTACTAAAATATACATGGAATTTAAAGGAGAGGACACAAATAAAATGTCTGTGGTTATCAAATGTACAGAAATTTAAATTCCAGATGTAGCTCACTGGTTGTTTTGCCAAAGCTACTTTCAGAAATACTTAATACCTCTGGGTGCTAAATGAAGGGGTAGGCTACTTGTTCTCTGAGATTTTTCCCAGATAGAGCACATGATGACCTTATGAATCCACACAGAATTTCAGTTGCTAATGACTGTTCAACACAATCTACTAGAATTTTTTGACAGTGTACCATACCATAATAAGAAATACATTTTACATCATCAAGCTCTATACTTATAGATTTTTTTTAAAAAAGTTTCTCAAATGAATTTTCTAAAATGAATTACTCTAATACTGTATTTTTCTTTCTGTTCTACTTTACTTCATGTTATAAATTTCATTTGAACTATTAAACTAACCTCATATCTCACAAACGGGTTACAAATAATAGCTTTATAAACATCACTTTAGCCATTTTGAAATAGGGCCGAGGGATGAGGTAGGTATGGGCAATAAATTAGCTAGAAAATTATTTTGTAACTGAAGGAAAACCTAAATCAACACTCTAGCTCCACATACTTATAATCAACTTTAAAAATTGTGAATTCTGGAGGTGATATCATTCATCTCCCACTATCCGATGGTTCCAAAACTGAAGCCACTTAACAGATTACAACTGTTCTGTGAAAGTTGCCTTTTGCTCTTCTCCCCTGTTCAGTGTCTTAATAATTGAATGATTGACTAAAGGGGAATTGTAACAGCAATAATGGCTACATCATTTTGTCATATTTCACCCTGTCTTGAAAACTATCCCCTCGAAAAGTTGTTTTTTGTCTATTTCCTTGCCCAGCATTATAATTTCTAAACAAAACCATCTAAGTGACTGACTGAACTGCTGGAGGCAACTATTGCAAGAAAAAGGAATAAGAAAATATAGGTTCCAAGACCTTCTAATCAGTTCTCTTTCTTTAGTTTTTCAGAATCTGGAACATCTGATAGTCTTCAGATAACATCAATGTATGGGCTAAAGATTTGCTAATCCAGCTCCTTAAATAAAAGTGGAATATCATTTAACTTGCAGGAAAATAAAGTGTCTGCCTAAAGAATTCTAAGGACTGGCCTAGGAGATGCAAGTTAGTTATTATCACAAAGATGTTCCAGTAAAAGAGAAAGGAAAACACTCCCAAGGGAGGGAGATGGTTAATGAACCTGCATGTGTGACTCAGCATGTAGCCTTCAAGTCTATGATCCCCTCTCCTGCTCAGGAAAGTCTTTTTGCACCAGAGTTCTCTATGATGAACTTCATTTTTAAGGTATCACAGCCTCCCACCTCCATCTTCTCAGGGTGGTATCCCTTGAATAAATCAGATTTCCTTCCCATCAACTCTTATCTCCCAAGTATTGGCTTTTAAGCAGTGAGCAGATGGACTTGGGTCCAATGATAATTTCACATTTAAGTAGAACTGGATCTTACCTGTATCCAGGGAGTGCTTACAAGTCGGAAATTTTCATGAAAATAGTGAATCAAGGTATGAAATTTCTCATCACCATAGTCAAAACGATTCTGGAAAATGACAGAGGCGATCACATTGCAGGGAACACAGGACAGAAGGAAGGTAGGATCACATGGAGATCCTAAAAACAATGGAAGTTAGAAGTTAGGACACAATTCTCATATAAATCTTAAATGTATTATTTGAAATAACTTGGAAGGGTGAACTTCCTAGATAGGCCATCATCACTACAAACTCCACATGCCTAAAAATCAATTCATTGTTTTTCCCCAAACAAAAGTGACTAATAAGCTCCAGTTTGTTTGTTAATTGCTATTCCCAGGTATCTGACTCCTTTCATTATTTTCCAAATGTTCTAATTCACAAAAAGGAAAATGCATGAAAATCATTTCATGTAGACACTTTCTCATGCTGCCTGTAGAAAACTGAGCAACCAAATAATAAAGAATAATAAGAAAGAGGAGAGAGTAAGTAGGGCTGGGGTTGTGGCTCAGTGGTAGAGCGCTTGCCTAGCACATGTGAGGTATTGGGCTTGATCCTCAGCACTACATTAAAATAAATAAATAAAACAAGGTATTATGTCCATCTACAACTAAAAAGCAAAAAATACAAAAAAAAAATATTAAGTTTAAAAAAAAGAGTAAGGGAACTTGAAATTGTATTTAACACAACACTCCTTGGAAATCCAGGTATAATTTTCTTATAGAAGAGAGAGTAATAAGAAATAAACGCAGTCATACTCAGATATTTGAAAAAATCCACTATAATTTTGAAAGCAGGTTTCCTACATAATAAAGAATACAACTTCTTTTTTTTTCTTTTTTTGTACCAAGGAATTAAGCCAGGGGTGCTTAACCACTGAGCCACATCCCTAGGACTTTTTATTTTTTATTTTGAGACAGGGTCTCACTAAGTTGCATAGGTCCTTGCTAAATTGCTGAGGTTGACCTTGAACTTCCAATCCTCCTGTCTCAGCCTTCTGAGCCACTGGGATTACAGACATGCACCACCACACCCAGCAATCTCCATTTTTTTTTAAATGTTTGATAGCTTTATTCCTTTGTCTTCCTCTTCTACCCACATCTAGACAAGCGGATTAAAAAGCCCAAGTGCTCACTCCATTGGCACAAGCAGGAAGTTTAATCCATGCAAGCCCTGCCCTGCACAGGGACCCCATCCTGGCCACAGCTCCAAAACACCATGAAACCCTCAAGCCAGTATCTCTTACCTTCTTTCTCACACCATTTTCAGACCTGCTTGGGAATCACTGTCTTCCCAGAAAGCACCATGACATGAATAATAAAACTTTCATATCCTATCAGCCTGTGTCACAGCATTAGTCTGCACCCTGCCTCTGTGCAGTGACAACCACAGCCCTATAACTCCAGAAGGAAACAATTAGCTCAATCGAAAAGTAGAAGTTTCAAGGACACACTGTTTTTTCTCAGTCTATGGAAGACATTTCCAACAGTTAGCAACATCCAATGTTGAAATGGGTGTCCCCAAGAGTCTGAGGTCCCCAATAGTAGATGGAATGAGGCAGAATGCCAGTGACCATCGGTCTGAAAACTAAGAGAAGGTCACGGTCACCATGGGAAAGTGGAACCCATCCATGTAAATTCTATTTGAAATACAAAGTAAGTCCAGGCATGGTGGTACCCGCCTGTAAATCCCAGCTACTCCAGAGGCTGAAGAAGGAGAATCACAAGTTCAAGTCCAGTTCATGCAACTTAACAAGACACAATCTCAAAATAAAAGAGTAAAATGGGCTAGAAATGTAGCTCAATGATAAAGCACCCCTGCACTCCATTTCCAGGAGCACAAAAGACAAAGAAAGGAAATCCAAATGAAGTACAAAAAAAGTCTCTTCCTATTTAATATGTATTAAAAGCCAAATTACTTTGCTAATTCTATTTCCAAAATTTTATTCTAAGGAAATAGTCAAAGATCTGCAATGTTTTGTATAAATTTCATTTTTTTGTATTAATAGCACCAAAGACCAGCAATAACTCATCTGACCAAAAGTAGAAGACTGGCTAATTAAATTATGGTACATCGGAAATAAGAGAATTCAGTTAATGTTCTTGAGAGTACTTTAAAATCAAACATATGAGACTATCAACTCGATATATTATATCTAAAAATAAGTTTACAGAACAATATGCACAGTATATGCCTCCTATTCTCATTCCTTTCCTTTCTGCATAATAGGTATCAAACAATGTTCATTGGCACTCTTAATCCATTTCCAAAAATTTATTCTAAGAATGAAACTAGATTTATATAAATAAACACAACAGTGATTCACCATAGGAATAAAGTATTATTAATTTAATAATGTGCTTTAAAATATTTAAATAATAAGGTTCTAAAACAACCTATGCCTTATGATCCTGACCTTACCCCTTACTGCCTGATCTCCTGCCCACTCTTTCTCCTCCTTTCCCCTGTGCTCCAGGCCTGTAGGGGCATACACTGAGATTTGTACAGTGATTGCTTCCCCCTTCTCTCCTACACTCTTCCATATGAGACAAATCCCACCATGCACATTGGAAGAATTAGGTGGACTTTGTAATGCTTCTTAAGAAGTTACTAGAAAAGTTACTTAGTTTTTAAAGTTAGTATGGCCAAGACTGCTAGTTAATTCCCAAAATGCATGTTCTCATCTTCTTCCTCTGGACATAGTTAATCACATTTTCCAGTTTGTCTCACAGTTAGGTGTGACCCTGCTTGTTACTAAGATAGAGCCCATGGAATAGGAAGAAATTTTCTGTGACACATCCATGCCTGACCTAAATGTTATTTGCTGTTTTCCTTGGTCTTTTCTACTTCCACTACCAAAGAGATGAATCTTGCTTGACATTGAAAGCCAAAGGGTAATGATATTAAAGACCTGTCAACCTGTCCTAAAAGTGGCTATGCCCCTCACCACTCCACTTCTTACTACTGTCACCTGAACAAAAAGTAAATTTCTGGTTTACTTGATACTCTATATCCTTATCTAAAATTCTACTTGTAATAGCAATTAGTCTACCCTATTACTGTTAATTATACAAATAATTATACACACCGTTGGTTTTTTTTAATTCGTCTATCAGACACAAGGCTTCCTCTTTAATTCGGTCTTCAATGGTTTTCTTCCCCATCCCCATATTCCGCAAAACAGTGAGGGAGAAACGCCGAGTTTGCTTCCATATGTCACCATTGCTGAAAACAATTCCTATCAAGACACAAAGAAAAAGAGCACAGATGAATATCCTCCATGGTCTTGAGTTCTACCGGAGTACTCATCTCACTCATCTCAGGAAATGACAGTGACACATAACCAGGAATGTAAATATAGTGGTGGCAGCTTCAGAAATTCCCATTAAGCCCCACCTCACCTGCCACCTCTCGTCACCTAACCTAGCATTTTACTGTCAGGACACTTGATCTTACATATTATTAAACTCTTCTTCACCCATCATCTCCTCAAAATCTCAGAACAATTCTGTGAATCAGTGTTCTGTCCCCATTATACTGGAAAGAATGTTGATGATTATGGAAATAAAATGCTTGCTGTTATGATCACACAGTTAATAAATCGCAGTGAGTCCAAAACATAGGATTCTTCAGGCATGACTCTTATGATTGTAAGTGAATTTTAGGAGAATCATCAAGAGATGGCAATTCTCAAGAGAATGTGAGACAACTCTTCTGCATTTGAAGGAATCTCCTGATAATCTATTCCTCACATAAAGGAAATAGTCATGGACATATAGCTCTTCGCATCTCAATACCCACTTTTACTTGTTTAATCTCTTCCACGTAATGTGGTCTTAGCATCAGTAAGTTCAAAATCAGACTTCCAAACTCAAGACAAGATACAGAGGATAAGGGGAAGGGGGACAAAATTATAGGCAATTTGCATAGGAAGCTCTTAGCACACAATGTAGAGAAGAAAAGGATCATTTATCTGTGTGTTCCAGAACCCACCAGAAAGATGAATAATTTAAAGTCAGCTCCTAAACTGGACAGGTCAACTATAGACAGTCTCCAATTTAACAGTGTTTTAATCTCTGAATTTTTTTTTTACTTTATAATAGTGCAAAATGGACACATATCCAATAGAAATCACACTTAAATTTTTGAATCTTAATTTTTTGTCAGGCTAGTGACATGCAGTGCTGATCCTTGGCAGCACCAGTCGGCCAGGGCTCCCAGTCAGCCTTGCAATCGTGGAGGTAAATGGTTGATGCTAGACTATGATGTTAGTGTACAAAATGTATTTTGACTTAGAATATTTTCAGCTTAGATGGGTTTACAGGGATATAACCACATCATAAATCAAGGAGCATCTGTACTTAATTTTTTAAAAAGCTTTTATAATCTCAATCCAATGTATAATCCCTATGCATTTCTCCTTGATCCTTTTATCAGAGCATATCTGTGCTTTATACTTTGTATTCTATTGGATTCGAATACTTCTTAGGTTTTTTAGAAGAATAAAAGATTAAAAACAGATCTGGAAATAGTCCAAACCCGCAATGATTCCATGAATATTAACCAGGCTTCAAACAGAGCCTCATAGATCCATGCTTCAGTCCAAGAAGCAAAATATTTGGTGAATAGAATGCTATAGTCATTACCTCCCCTGTTCTCTTTTACTTGCTTGTAATATCAACTGGCCATAATTAAATTAAAAGTGTCTTAAGCACAAATTCATAGAGCATTAGTGGTCAGATGGTTTACTTTCACTGAATTTAATGTTTCATGAGGACATTATGTCACATTCATAGATTTTGGAAATGAATTAACAACACCTTAGAGAAAATTTATTTATTAGAGATTATTAGAGGTCAGGAAGGAGCAGAAGAGGGTGGAAAAAAGAAGGGTGGATTTCATCAGTCCAGATTGTATGCATATTTTGAAATACCACACCAAACCCCATTAATATGTATAATTAATATATGTTGATTCAAAATTTAATAAAACTTTAAAACAATTTATTCATAGGCTTCGTTTAGAATTATGAAATGTGTGTTTCATAAATTTTTTTCAAGTGCTTCTAATTTCTTAATTTCTTCAACTGTTTGGATTCTTGCAACTTATCAACCCAAGGACATTCCCCAAAAAAACAATCATACCTAATCCTTGGAAAATGTGGTCAATCACTGGGTAACTTCCTCTGCCAGAAAACTCCTCTGCCCGATCAATCAGAGCTTCCTTTACAGCTTCATATCCATATAATACCACAGTGGGCTTCATGCCAAAGTGCACAGTAAATACAGGGCCATAATCTTTTGCTAGCTGGAAAAGAAGCAGGAGATGCAGAAAAGTGAGAATTTCAATACTTAAATGTAAAGGACTGAAAGAAATATTTTTATTTGCACAGTCTCATTAGTACCATTATAAAGGAATTATGAAGGAATTCAACTTTTAGAACCATTAATTTAATAAGAAAATACATTTAAATGGTACTTATCATGATACTATTAGTAAGATTGCTATTGTTATTATTCAGCTCCAATTATGTGACAGAGACTATATTATGCATCTGTTTATATGACTTAATAAACTTTTCCTGCCAAACCTAGAATTGCATCAATTTCAACCTTCCTGACTATACTTACAGTAAAACGATTTATTTCTCCTCCTGATTAAAAAAGTTCCTCCAAATTGCCCCATGTATACATGTTTACACTGCTAATAATCCTTGTTATTCATTCTCAATATCACCCTTTTAGCACCAAAGATCTGTACATTTTACTAATACAGGAAAACTTGGCAAACTAGTCATAGTATCTGCCTACTCTCCAGACTGCAAATTCTATAATGCCACTCTTTTAAATTTTTCATTTACCATTAAAAATCCTCTGCATTCATCTACAATGGTGCCTAATGCAAAGTAGTCATTAATTATTGCTGAATGTATGATACACTCAGGTAACCCATGCAAAATCATTATTATTTACATCTTAAGGAAATGGAGCTCAAAGCTCAGAGAAATCTTAAAACCTGCCTAAAGCCGTGAATTAACAAATGGGTAAACCAGATGCTGACACAATCTTGATCCAGAACCCAAGGCACAGGAAGAAGGAGCTTCTAGGGCAGTGCTACAGCAACTGAGCTATCTCTGGGGAAAGATAGGTTTCAGATAATTCCTTTGGAGAGGCACCACTATGTAAACTTGGAGCAGAAAGTTGTTGATTTCTTAAGTTGGTAAATGTAATAGGAATTGTCAAAATTCCTGAACCCTTAGTCACTTCTTTGACTTCAAGTTAATATGTGCTTCAGGAAAATTTAGTGTTGGAGCTCTGTAAGTCAGTAGATTTTGCTGAAACTGAAAACAGTTTCGTTCCCATTAGAGCGCATCAAAGAATAAATACTAAAATAGAGACCTAGGTCACAATAAAGATAGAGAATTCCTGCTTTTGATAATTTCAACAGTCACCTCATAGATCCCATTTTCTTCTAGTTATATACATTCGAAAAATCATATCCAGGTAGCCAGTGGATACTTCCCTTTAAAACATGGCACCCAAGACCATATTTTATTTGGCTCTAAGGCTATGTTATTCACTCGTTGCAAACAACTGAAAGAGAATCAGTCATACTTACAGTGCTTAAGGATTTGGCAATATTCTTAATATCTAACTGTAGCATATTTCCAATGATTGGAAGAGGAGTGGGGCCAGGTGGGAGCTTCCCTTTGGCATGCCTTCGATTCCACAGAGAAAAAAGAATCAAACAAGAAAGACAAACCACCAAGACAATGAAGAGAGCCATTGGTAAGCTGCGTAAATGCAACTGGAAGCTTAGACTCCAGTGATTCTATAAATATAGTGGGTTCTTATCACCAAACTTGTGTGCCCTTTGAACTTTCGGCAAGTGTTGTTTATCTTCAGTACACTTTGGCCTGCTGGTAGAAATGAGAACAAACATAAGACGCTAAGTACTGATAAATTCCTGTTTTAACTGTCATTCCAACTAAAACAATTAAAGTTGAAAACTATCAGATTTTCAAAGGGCTGGCTTCAACCTATGAAACTGACAAAAGATTTATAAGAATATCCCACCAGGCACACTGGAATATACCTATTATCCCAGATAATTCAGAGGCTGAGGCAGGAGGATCACAAGTTCTAGGTCCACCTGGGCAACTTAACAAGACCCTGTCTCAAAATAAACTTTAAAGGGGAAGGGCCTGGAGCTCAGAGGGCTGGGCTCAATCCCCAGTACCACAAGGCAAAAAAAAAAAAAAAAAATGATATCCCTTCTGTCAAAGTCATCCTCATACAAGCAGAAGAAACAAACATTCTCTCAGTGACTTTTACCAGAGGATACCAGGGTGAAATAGACAATTGATGGGAATCTACCCTGTAATGGAAAGAAACTGCCTGAACACAACAGAGGAAAGCCCCCTGGCTGTACCCCTCCTCAGCTTCCTTGAATATCCATTCCCGTCAGGGTCCTATAGTCCTAGCCTGCATTGCCTGCTCTTCCCTGGGGAAGAAATAGACTCCAGTTATTCAACCCTGCAAATATTTAAAAGTGTCTAGAAACTTGCAGATATGAAAAAAGCTTTAAGACTCACAGAATTTCTTTAAATATTTTTTTTCATTAACATGCATTTTTTGGAAATGTTAAGGATCCAGTATTTTCAAAGCATGTATAATGTGCACTTTCCACTCAATGCTCACTATAGACCAAATAAATACGAAGAGTAAAAGTGAATTCTGGATATCTGAAATGAAGTTCAAAATAACAATGATGAAAATCACAAAGTTATGAACTATGGGCAATATTCTAGAAGTTTCTATACTGTTAGCAAACATCAATCATCTATTAATCCAAAATATGTTTTTTAAAGGTTTGAGTAGCTTGATTTCACAGCACTGCTACTTCAATATATAATAAGCATATAATCAACACCATAAAATTAAAGTGGCTTTCAGTGGGTCTTCTGCACCAGACATTTTCCATCTGATTGGATCATTTAATCTTCAAAAATCACTTTGTGTCCCCATGTAGTGGTATGTACCTGTAATCCCAGCTACTCCAGAGGCTGATGCAAGAGGATTGCTAGTCTGAGGCCAACCTGGGCAATTTAGCAAGATATCCTGTCTTAAAATAAATATTTTTTAAAATATTGAGTCTATAGTTTAGTGATAAAGTGCTTGTCAGGATGAAAGAAGCCTTTGGTTCAATCCCCAGTACCAAACAAACAAGTCATATTGTAATAGCAATGTTTTGGCCAAGATACACAAAGAATGACCATTTGAACTAGAAGGATTGCTGACACATCATATCTGACAATTAAAATTTAAGAAGCAGCCCAAAGAGGAAGAAGACCCCAGAATTCGCCATGAACACACAGAGCCCCATACAGGACACCAAGGATTGGGGACCTCACCACATCAAAATGCCATCCTCTAGAAAGACCACCATGTCCAGATTCCACAGATAAAAACATGATATAGATTAGATCAGGAGCTAAATGAAATAAAGTCAAAATGCCACTCTTCATACCACTTCTGTAAAGGAAATATTTTAACACGTATTTTTATATATTTTTGAGTTACAGTGTGATGTTTTGATTCATTTTGTATACATTGGATAGTGATCAACTCAGCATATCTATACCTTAAAGTTGTATCATTGCTTTATGGCGAGCATGTTCAAATTTTCTCTAACAATATTGAGATGCATAATGCTTTATTGTTAATTATATTCACCTTTCTGTGCCATAGAACACCCGAACTTATTCCTCCTACCAGACTAAAACACTGTACCCAATGACTGACTTCTCCCCATGCCTCTTTCCTTTTATTCTCCCCAGTCCCTGGTAACTACTATGGACTTCATTTTTGCGGGGGAGGGGTACTGGGGATTGAACTCATCCGTGTTTGACCACTGAGCCACACCCCCAGTCCTATTTTGTATTTTATTTAGGGACAGGGTCTCACTGAGTTGCTTAGTGCTTCATTTTTGCTGAGGCTAGCTTTGAACTTGGGATTCTCCTTCCTCAGCCTCCGGAACCACTGGGATTACAGGTATGCACCACTGCACCTGGTTCTAATTGACTTCTACGAGCTCAGTTTTTTTAGATTTCACTTACTAGTGAGATCATCCCATGTTTGCCTTTCTGTGCCTGACTTATTTCACTTAACATTTCCTTCAGGTTCATCCATGCTGTTGAAAATGGCAGGATTCCATGCTTTTATGGTTGAATAGTGTTTATATATATATAAACGTTGATTCCATCTGTGTGTTCATGGCCAATTCTGGGGTCTTCTTCCTCTTTGGGCTGCTTCTTAAATTATAATTGGCAGATATGATGTGTCAGCAATCCTTCTAGTTCAAATGGTCATTCTCTGTGTATCTTGGCCAAAACATTGCTATTACAATATATATATTTATTTTATGCATGCATCCATTGATGGACGTTGATTCCATACCCTGGCTCTTGTAAATAGTACTGCTATAAACATGAGAGTGCAGATATCTTTTTGACATGTTGTTTGTGTTTCCTTTGGGGATATACCCAATAGTGAAATGACTGGATCCTGTCATCCATTTTTAGTTTATTGTAGAACCTCCATACTGCTTTCACATGGCTGTACTAATTTACATTTCTACCAACAGTGTTATAACAGCTCTTCTTTCTCCACACCTTTACTAGTATTGGCTATTTTTTTCCCTTTTTGATAATGACCTTTTTAACTGGAGTGAGGTGTGGTTTTCATTTATATTTGCCTGATGATTAATGATATTGAGGTTTTCTTCATATATCTGGTGGTAACTTGTATATCTTCTTTTGAGAAATGTCTATTCAAATATTTAGCCCACTTTTTAATTGAGTTATGTTTTTTTTGGTTTTTTGTTTTTGTTTTTGTTTTGTTTTGTTTTTGCTATTTTTTGAGTTCTTTATCTATTCTGGATTTTAACCACTTGTCAAATGTATAGCTTACAAATATCATCTACTGCTCTGTTGATTGTTTCCTCTGCTACACAGAAGCTTTTTACTTCAATGTAAGTAAAAAGCTTTTTACTTACAATGTAAATTTGTAAGTTTTTATTTTTATTGCCTGTGCACTTAGGGTCATATCCAAAATTCTTTGCCCAGTACTATGTCCTAAAGCAATTGCCCTGTTTTATTTAATTAGATAAGAAAATTTAAGGGCTTACATGTGAGTCTTCCTTCCTACCTACTTCCTTCCTTCCTTCCTTCCTTCCTTTCTTTCTTTTTCTTTCTTTCTTTTTTTTCTTTCTTTCTTTCTTACCAGGGATTGACCCAAGGGCACTTAACTACTAAGCCACATCTTCAGCCCTTTATTTTATTTGTTCTTTTTAGTTAAACATAACAATAGTCCCTGGTCCTTTTTATTTTTTATTTTGAGAGTCTTGCTAGGTTGCTTAGGGCCTCGCTAAGTTGCTGAAGCATGTCTTTGAATTTACAATCCTCCTGCTTCAGCCTCCTAAGCCACTGGCATTAAAGGTGTACACCACTGCACTTGCCTATATTTAAGTCTAAGCCATTCTGAGTTGCTATGTGTAACTGGTGACATAGAGGGTCTAGTTTCATTTGTCTGCATGTGGATATCTAATTTTCCTAATTTAGAAACAGTCTTCTGCAATGCTACTATTAGATTTTTAAATAAAGTATATAGAATTTTTAAAGTGGTCTTTGTGTCTTGTTTTTTTTTTGTTTGTTTGTTTTTTGTTTTTTGTTTTTTTGTGGTGGTGCTGGGGATTGAACCCAGGGCGTTGTGCATGTAAGGCGAGCACTCTACAAACTGAGGTATAGCCCCAGACCTAAAGCAGGATTTTTAAGGTATTTAAAAACAAAATAAATTGCTTTTCCAAATTAAAATTAAAAAATCTTTTTTGTAGAGTCTGTGAAACTCATGAAGGACTTTGTAATTATTTTATAATCAACCCATGAAACAGGTAGCTATTTTATCCATTATATTACATATGAGAAAAATGAAAATTACAACCAAGACAATTCACTTCCACTGCTAAGGCAAAGTAAAACTCCCATGCTTGTTTTGTAACTTGTGAACTCTACATTGGAAAGAATTTCAATTCAAAGATATTTCACAAGTATTAGTTAATTATTATGTACCAACAATCTCCTAGAATCTTAATCCTTATGAAATTAAACAGTTGCCAGATCAATAATTTCCCTATGAACAAATAAAAATGAGAGTTCAAAGAAGTTTGTCTTTTGTAATCTTTGAAACTTTGGAATGACAAAATTCAAAAACATCCAAGAAAATGCGGTTACTTGCTGTTCAACACCATATGCTGCCCCAGCACATGTTTGGTTCTGGAAAAAGAGCAGATTTTAAAACAATCACATATCTATATGTATTTATCAATATAGATACATATACCCATAAAATTATGTATGATTATTATATTAGAGTTATGGTATAATAAATAGCATATCTATATTACATATATTCTTTACACACACACAAGTCACTGTCTTAAAATCAGTCCCTTTGCCTAAGGAGCTTGCATCCTGGCTCTGCCTAAGTGACATTTCTAGGTATGCATCTACAGTACCTTGTGGGAGTTTAAAAGAATATTTAATTATTAAAAAGTATACTCGTGGGGCTGGAGTCATAAATTAGCAGTAGAGCACTTGCCTTGCGTGTGTGTGGCACTGGGTTCAATTCTCAGCACCACATATAAATAAGTAAATAAAATAAAGGTCCATCAACAACTAAAAAATATTTTTTATAAAAAGTATACTTGTGATTTAATTTTAAGTAAAAGAGAAAATAGAAAACACTATGTAAAATAT